AGCAATAGTGTAGCCATTGTATCTAAACTACTCGGAATGCTTGGAGATTTTGGGTTTCGAATTCATAGAAAGCTTTTGGGGGCATGGTAGATTCTGGGTTTACGATTCACACTGTAATGATACGGACATATTTCGATTCGCACAGGATGACTTGTCAGATTTTCTTTTGGGTGATATTATTTGTGACGTTGTTCGAAATTGACAATTTGAGATTGACGGTGGTTGTGCCGACGATGAGGGTGGCGATAGGCCAGTGATTTTTCTGGTTTCAATTTGGGTAGGGTAGAGGTAGGGGTTGGGGTGGGGTGAAGAGGATGAGTTTTATTTTCTTTTTCCCTTTTTATTATTTTTTGGTTTTTAAATTTAATTTTTAAATTATTTTATGTTTAAAATAGTAAAATTACCATTTTACCCCCTTTCAATTTGGTTAAATTAGGTCAAAGCTCATTTTCTTGGTCAACTAATGTTCAAATGGGCGGTTTCCATTCATTTGGACCCTAAGTGCATATTTTTGAAAAGTTTGGGGCTGTGAATGGCACAAAATGAAGATTATGGTAAAATCTGCAAAAAAAAATTAAAGATTAGAGGCTGCTGCAATTTTTCCCTAATAAAATAAATATATTCAAAACTCAAAAATCAAAATTCACGATAACAAGACTTAACAACGATTTCTTAGCTAGACTCCACTGATAATCTTTCTCTCCAGCATAATGCAAAATTGTACATAAAATAATTTTAATATATATATAAGAGAATTTAATTAAGAAGGACCAAAATCCAAATTAGAGGGATAAACGAAAAACTATCCTTAATTACTAATCTCCATAAGAATGTTATCGTGTAAGTTGATTTTCTTAAAAACAACAAGTCATTTTCTTCTTCGATCTCCACCATGGTCTTTTAACTTTGTGTTTTCAAATCCCGTTCTTCCTCTTAATTCTTTCATTTCCCTACATTCCCAAGCCTCCATGTAAAACCCGACTACATAAAAGTTGAACGGTAGACTTCCAAGTAGATACTTGAAAGTCTTACGAATTGTTGATCGAGTAACATGGTATTGAGGAAGTAACCTTACAAAAAGTACTATTACAAGACTTTTACATTGAGTACACAACTATCTGCGATTTCAATACTAAGACTTTATTGGTTTTGCTAAAATTTAGATTTTAGTAAAAGAAAAATGCGTGGTCAAAAATTTGATAAAATTTGTGAATCAAATGAAATAGTTAATTGAAAATGAATTCGAAAAAAAAAAATAGAGCTGAACTAAATCCAAGTTACATTTACGCCAAATGTGCCATCTTTTAGCAAAAGGCAAAGCAATTTATCATAATGGATAAAGATGTAGTTATACCCAGTAAGTAATAGTAAAATAACAATATTAAAGATGGACATAATAATGAAAAGGGAAGACAAAAAGGGCCGAGATTGGAGAATAGCTAGCTGGTGTGGAATATTTTTGACAGTAAAATGGTAGAGAAGGTCAAAAGTGCAATCATTTTCCGGCGCAGTTTGATTAGGGAAATGTCAGCAGAATTCTTTTGGGGTCCCAAGAAAAAGATTACACTCTGAGCTTTGTTTGTCCACACACACACACTGCACCTATCAAAATATACAACTCAATGTCTGACCACAATTAGAATTAGCTCAACAAAGCGCTGCTGTTCTTTCAATTCAATGAACTCCTTAGGGTACACTGTAAAAATTGATTTACTGCGTTCAATTTTCCTGGATAAAAAACTGTCATGTCTTCAATTCGAGTGAGTTGGTTCGACATAAAGAAACCCTCACAAATTAGTCTTTGACTATGAATTGTATCTTAACTGGTAATTTAGAGAGACTCTTGGAAGTTTCAAGTTCAATCTTCGAATCTAAGACAAAGCAAACCGAATCCTTTAAAGAAAACGATGAATTCATGAAAGAAATAAAAGGTAATAAACAAGTCAACAGTGTTGAAATTTGAAACAAATGTATGTTTGAATATAGAAAAAGATAGACTTGAGGCAATGATGCATGATCAGCCCTGTGTCTTCGGAGCTTTTGGAACTTTTGTATTCAAGTCTAACGTGGGAATGCATGCTAAATTATGTGCCCGTTGCTGCCACCCTTGTCACTTGAGTCAATTTTGGTACATCGAAGCCAGAGGCGCAAACCATAGTGACCGATTCACGTATTAGAAAATAAAATGGAGTTTCATCGGTGATTCTAAGTTTATTGCTTAAATTAAATATATTGCATCACTATGACACACTTAGCAAGCAAAGCGTGAGAACTTTAAAGCAATTTTTATTAATGGCAGAAACAAATTGTTATCTTTGGTGTTATCGCAATAATCTTTTTATGTTTTGATATTCTCTCTTTATTTTATTTGAACTCTTGAATAATTGAATGGAACATTTGAAATGTAACGAATGTAAATAGACTCTTTAAGTATAAAAGGGACATGAGCAAAGTGCATAAATTTACAAAAATTTCAGCCAATTAATCCAACATATTACTGGAATTTTCTAGAAAAAAATTGAAGGATTTAAATTTAGGGGCAGAAGAGGGTAGAGAAGGCTCCAAATGAGGAACAGGATCACAGTGTAAAAAAGGGGACGAATCAAACATTTTCTACTCAAGTGTGAACAGTTTCAGCCACTCCACACCAAGGAGACAAAAGGCACTCAGAAAATAATCTGTTCCTATGTTTGCCTTCTCAGTTTTGACCAAGCAGTGCCTCTTGCTCAAATTTTTGATACACGACATCCAAAAGTGTAAAAAGGGCAAAGAAAAGTACTTATTTTGGCAATAAAATCCAGCACTCGACAAAAGAGTGTCTCCTCTGTGTTTGTAAATAGCCCCAAATGAGGTGCTGCAAGTCTTCATCAATATACAAGCTGTAATCCAAAATGAAGAGCATATTTTATATATGGTGTTTAATCAATCAACTAGCGTGGATTGAGTTAATTAGAAGCCCTCAGTTTTTGACTTATCAAAAGCTTGTATATTATTCAACAAATTTGCCATTATAGGAATTTACACAAAAAATAAAAAATAAAATAAAATAAAAGGGGGGGGGGGGTATCTCAATGCTTTCAACTGCAAATGTGTATTCGATTGCAAGTACAAATAGAGATTACGGTACGATGAACATAATTGAGCCCCTTCAATACTTTTAAGAGAAATCATAGCATTTGAGGCACCATGGATATATGCCAACAAGAATATTTTGAAAGAAAAATCAAATTTCCTACCAATTTTGCTTCAATTCAATCCATGTAACTAACTCTAACTATACCCTTCTACTTTGGATTATTGACCGCTGGGTAATATGGCTCTGCCCTTGCTATGCTGTCCTCTCCTATTGACAACTTTATTATCATGCAGGCCTAACTAAGAAATCACTATGAATCTATCACAAAATATTTTAACTTAATCTTCAATGTTTAGATCTACTTGAACCATAGGGTATGCTATATAGAGCTTGCATTCAATTAGGAAAATGGATACTTTATACAGTCACAAAAAGGGGAAGTAAGGATCCGTCTGATTGTAATAATAGAATTTGGTTGGAAAGAAAATGATTTTCAGGAAATTAAATTGTCTATAACTTATTTTACTGAAAATTGTCAATTAATGTATTTGATTGGTATAATTTTTCACCTTAGAAAATATTAAAATTTTGAACCTTTTGAAATTTTTTTGGCTTTATTTTTCATGAAAATCATTAATTAAAGGAATAGAATTTGTTTCCAAAAAAAAAAAAAAAAAACACCAAACCCATGGGAATACCAATTCCTCAAAAATGTGAAAAAAGGGTCACCTGGAGTGTTGCCAAAAAAACCAATTGCTAAGAAAATTTAACCAATCAAACATGCAAAAAGGTGGGAAATAAATTTTAATTTCTTACATTCATGGAAAATTTGTACAATCAAACAAGGCCAAAGTGCTAATATCTGCACAATGACATGATAGTTTTAGGTTGTTTTTATTATATAGTTGTTCAAAATCAATAAAGACACGTGTAGAATGAAAGTGGAAACAAACGGGCCAAACTAGTGATCTATGCGATTGCATAGACCCTATAAGGGTATGGCCGCCTAAAGGCCCTTCTTTTGGACAAACTATGCGGTAGCATAGGTTAATACTACGCAATCACATAAGGTAATCAGTTAGTCGTTACGGTCGTTTTTTTATTATTATTTTGGTTGCTTTTCACTAAATTTTGACACCACTTCTTATGGCGATGACTGATTGCTATAAATATGTAATTGTGAAGGAATAACAAGAGAAAACTGTAATAACATAAAGCCACAATTAAGATCAAATTATTAATTCTAGTATATATAGAAATTTATTTCTATTATCATATTCAACTCCCTTTTTTGCATTCTCAAGTTCAAAGGATTACAATAAGTGATTAAGTGTTAAA